TGGATTATATTTTTTATGACTTTTTACTACGGGAAGCAATTATGATGGCACAGACAAAATTGGGGCTGTAAATTTTTTGAATTTTTCAGATTAAGTTTTATTTTTTATCGGAGGTGTATTGCTATGGTCAGTTGGGATGGGATGAAGGAGAATGTCTTTAAAAGTTTGATATATTAATAAAGTAAAAGGTGAACAATTGAAGTTTAAAGATTGATTATGGTAGTATGAAAGCTTGCAGGGGAGTTGTCAGACTTTTCGATAACGAAAGGAAAGGAAAGGGGGGAAGGAGGGGGGGGGGGTCATTACCTCAGGAAGAAACATAGTCAGAAGCCTTAGTGTTTTAAACCAACTTAAAAATCAAAGTTTGTATGAAAAGTCCGAACAACTGTGAAAAGTCTTGCAACTACACTCATGTATAAATTACTTTAGTTACTTCCTTGGCTGGGGTGCACATTAGCCCATTGCCGCGTTCAGTGATCGTCTAAATACAGCTCTATCCTTTGAAACCTTCGGCCAGTTCGGGATATTAATGACTCTAGCGTCCTTATCAACACATGCAATCCAGGTTATCTTTGGTCTACCTTCCCTGCTTCACTAAAAGCTCAAAAACAAAAAAAGGCAATAATCCACATAACATTCAATTCCAAAGTCCTTCTTTAAATTATATTCATAAATTTAAAACAATTTATTCCTCATCAACTAAGGGTTCATTCACTTATAATGTCAGAAATTAGCGGTCATTTTTCAAAAGGAAGAAAGGATTTCCAGGAACTTCTATTGTTCATTCCTTGCTGATCCCTCCCCCCCATCTGGAAGTCATATATGAACGGTCCTTAGCATCAAACGACCATAACGCAGTTCAAACATTAATAAATTCAAGAATCTGACAAAATTCTGTTTGGAATTTAGCTTTTTATATATTTTTTGTAACCCTTCAGTTAAATAATGGTGTTTTATTGTCGTTGCTATATCAATGTGTCAATGCCATTTTAGTCACGCAATATTTTTTTCCACCCTATTTGAAATGATGAACAATTTTATCGGCTATATCCGGTGATAATACCATTCGCCATTCCCAAATAAATGTATTTTTATTATCAAAAGCACTCAGTAGATAGCGGACCGCTGCTGGAAAAAGTAGATAGATAGGAAATAAAAATGTAGGACACGACTGAATACAACTTTTTAAATAAATTATCAAGTTAAAATAAGCTGTAATGAACAGGAATTGGTTTCGGTTTTAGAAAAGTTTAATCATCAATTTTTCGTAAGTGCACTTTTATGGCTTAAACTTTAGATGTGCTGGATACTGAAGTCCATAATCGATTTAATAAATAAAATTATCTTTTTGTCATTAGAAGGTAATGAAGTGAGTGGATATTGAGGTGTTTGGGGTGTCTAGGATGAGAAGCAAGGTAGATAAAGTTGAATTTTAAGCAGTTAAGTGCCTTGCTGGTCGAATAGGTTAGGCACTTGGCTCTAAATTGGTATGGTAACTCAAAAGTCGTCCGGTTCGAACCAAGCCATTTTAAAATTTGTTCTTTTTCGGAAGTATAGATACAGTGAGCTGAAGTGGCTCGGTGGCGGAATGGCATCAAAGGAGTGGTTCGGATCCCACTATAAATTGTAGGTCTAGTTTTGAGTGCAGTGGTTTGGCGCATCCTCACTCGTTAAACTCTCATTAGCTGCGAATCGCCCTAGCGCACCTCTGGATCACAATTGATCTGAATAGGTAAAGGTTTTTTTTTTTTTTTTTTTTTATAGATACTTTGGCTGCTTAATGTACGAGATCAAGCCATAATTGGGCATTTAAATACCGTTGGATTAAGGGACGAGTCGGGAACTTGAAGTGTAGCTGGAGAAATAGGAGCAAGATCTACAAGATTACTCTCGAATGAAACTTTATGTAGAATTTACAATCCTTCATGTCTATAACCCATCAAATAATCTCATGACTAGATATACTCTCAAAATTTATAGCTTCTAAATTAATTCACATCATTTTCACATCCACAACATCCATAAATTTAATATCGCGTTAAAAACAAAACTTAACCTACATTCGATTCTACAAAAACTACATTCAAACATCAATAAGTTCCCCGCCCTCATGTCCTCGAACAGAGCAGATAAGAAGACAACAAAAAATAACTATGAAAGTCATAACATACACACTCCTGCATAAACCGTTGAGCCAGCAATTTTACTGTCATTAATGAGCAATTAGAATTCATTCTAACTCAACCGCATGAAATTAAAATGAAAATTTATGGCCTCAATGTTAAAGTTTCATGTCAAATAGCAAATTAAACACTATTTTTATGCTGACAAATTCCCACCATACCACTGGATATAGAAACTATGCCATCCCACATTTTTTAATGTTCTGTAGATCAAGTTCTGTAGTTTTTTGCTATAAAAAATATTTTTTATTGTTTCAAGTCAAATAAGGAGGGAAGCAGAGCTGTTTGTTCATTAGATGTCAGTTTTACTGTCAATTTTCATTCATGCTTTCATGTTTCCCATCACTTGTCCGTGATATCCAAAATGATGTCTGTCTGTCAAAAGTATTTTCATCATTTCTTTATTCTTCCTCACTTCCGAAATTCATTCTTCCTTTTTTTAAGGGTAGCTTGTGGCTGACTGTTTTGTAAATTTTATTAATAAAATTCTTTTTTTACAGATTAAATGTGAATAAAAGTCAGCAGAAAATAAGGTCGAGGAAGAAGATGGAGAAACTAAATTTAGCACATTTAAATGTAATACTTTTTGTGTTTGGCTCGGGAAAACTTTATGAGTTTCTTTGTGACTGTTCTTTGTGCACTTATTAAGTAACCTAACCTTCTGTCTTATTCCGCTAGCTTTACAGGCCGATTGAAATCTATTGCCTCTTTTAAACGTGCATTATCCTTACTTACTTCCTTGGCTGGAGCGCACATAGACCCATTGCCGCGCTTATAAACAGTGCTATCCTTTGAAACCTTCTGCCAGTTCAGGATATTAAAGACTCTACCGTCCTTTTGATGATGATTTGAATAGGGTTTCTGAAGCCGTTAACGAAAAACGGAAAACGGCCGTTAACGGTACAAAAATTGAAAACGGAAAACGACCGTTTTTCGTTCCGTTTTTCCGTTTTCTCATAGTTCATACAATGTAATTTTTAAAATTTTTTTTGTTTATTTCCTTTTAAAATTATTCTCAAAAACAGTTAAAAGTTTCTGCAATTGAGATTTATTATTATGGATTACCTGGAATGTTTGAAAATCTCATTTCAAGTAGTATATTAGAATCAGAAATGTAATCATAGTTGCGAGTCCAGTTTTGTTTGTTGTTTAGATACAACAAATCAAAATCTGGACTCAAGAATTTACATCGGGTTTTTCATATTTGATTTTTATCAATTTTTATGAAAAATACAGGAAATCGATCGGAAAATCTTCAAAAACTTTATGATGTTTTGTTTCATCACCCTAGATTTGATGATTAGTTTCTATTAGGGTTTCTGAAAAACGGCATTTTCGAAAACGGCCGTTTTCCGTTTTTTATTTTCAATAACGGCCGTTAACGGACCGTTTTAAGTTTTTTAAATAACCAAATATAAATGAAATATTCCTCAAAAGATAAAGAATTGCTGTGCTATATGGGCACGGATTGATTTTTCTAAAATATTCATCTTTGAATCGAATTTTCTCTTAATTAGAGAACTTTGCAGCTGCAATTTTTTCACAAACTTATGTAAAACGCCGAGCTCTTTCATTCTATCTAACTTACGCATCTTGTTATGACTTAATTAATGAAATATTTGGAATTTTGTGAGCGTTGGTATATTACACAATGTTAAATTCTGAATATGAAAGCAGAAATTTACCACTTTAAGATGTCTTTACAACTATTAATGTTGTCTTTATTGTCAACCGTTCTTTCTATCCTCTTCTATGATTCTGCATACTTAAATTGACTTGAAAGACACTCAATAGACAGAAAAATGAATAATTTTAATGCAATTAAAATAATATACCAACGCTTAAGCCAAATCCGTGAAGAAATAATTTTTAAAAAACCAATTTTTACTTTAATTAACAATAATTTTAAAGAACCTTGTTTTTAAAAGTTTAATAGTCAATGAAGATCTTTAACTCGTTTTAAAAAGTGTAAGCTTAATTAAAGTTTATTTTTGAAGCTGTTTGAAGCAATCAAATTTTTAAAGCACATGGATCAAATATTTATTTTTTTCGAAATTTAACTCATCCGTGAAATTGCCCATATAGATAATATTAGATATCTATTTATATTTATTTTATTATAATAAATAATAAGAAAAACAAGAGCATTTAGTGATTCATCAGCAGATTGAAAATATTCGCTCTACATCTGTAGATGTCGGCTTAATACACAACAAAACATCATAAAGTTTTTGAAGATTTTCCGATCGATTTCCTGTATTTTTCATAAAAATCAAATATGAAAAACCCGATGTAAATTCTTGAGTCCAGATTTTGATTTGTTGTATCTAAACAACAAACAAAACTGGACTCGCAACTATGATTACATTTCTGATTCTAATATACTACTTGAAATGAGATTTTCAAACATTCCAGGCAATCCATAATAATAAATCTCAATTGCAGAAACTTTTAACTGTTTTTGAGAATAATTTTAAAAGGAAATAAACAAAAAAAATTTTAAAAATTACATTGTATGAACTATGAGAAAACGGAAAAACGGAACGAAAAACGGTCGTTTTCCGTTTTCAATTTTTGTACCGTTAACGGCCGTTTTCCGTTTTTCGTTAACGGCTTCAGAAACCCTAGTTTCTATTGATCCACTTTGAATCGTAGTCCTTTTCATCACATCATATCCACGAGTTCTTCAGTCTTGCTCGTGATATCTTGCCATCCATAAAGTCTACTACTGTCACTTTTAATACTGGTGCATCTTGTGAGCGTCTGAACGTGGCTCTTTTGCTTGGTTTTATCTTTTAATTCTAAATAATTTCTTACTTCCCTGGCTATGCAGATTAATTGTGATCAATGGCTTGTCTTTGGTGGCACCAGAAGCTACATCTATCGGCTCCATCTTGCTTATTATCAATCCTAAATGCGATTAAGTCTCTGTCAAAAGCTTCTTTTCAAGAGTTTCTTCCCTTTCACAAATTTTAGATAATAATATTTTTTTTGAATTTTTACAAAACTTTTGCACCCTCCTTTAAACACTTCAAATTAGGATTCAGCAATCCCGAGTTAGAGACTTAATTGAGTAACAAGCAGGTGTTGTCTGTTATCTATTATTCTAAGGATTTTTGTGAAAAAAAAACTCCTTAATCTACAACAAAACATTTTCCGAAACTTTCGAATAATTTCTGGATACCAAGAATCAACTTCATCTCATCCGATTTTGAAACCATCAAAATTCCTTTTTTAAAGTTGATTCTTAAAATTTCATTCATTAGCTTAGGGGCTGTTAATTTAATACGTTCGCTTTTTTGGGGATCTAGGATTTTGAAACAGCTCAAACAAAAGAAGAAAAATTTCCCACACAAAAATTTGTATCAAGAGGGGGAGGAGGAGGGGCTGAAAATTGTTTTTTGCGTAACGTAATAAGTGAACAAACCCTTAAAATAAACTTTTAATAAACCGCCTGTGAAATCTATCAATAAGAAAATTATGAAACCCACATTCAACTTTTAGCAGCGCTCATAAACCACAGTTAAACTTTTACTCCTTCATTCACTAAATTCTTGGAACAGACTGTCAAATTAATGATGCTAGACAAGATTACACATTCTTGCTTTCTTCTTTGTGGATGACAAGTTTAATTTGAGAATATTCAGTCTATTGCTACCTACACATTTGGTGTGAATTTTGATGGATATTATGTTTGAGGGAGTTCATTTATGACGTCCGAGATTTGGGGAGGAGGGGGTCTAGAATTTTGTGACAACTCAAAGTAGGAAATTTTTTCAATATAAATTTTGTGACGTGGAGGGCAGGCATGTTTTTTGACAGACGTCACTAGTGAATGACCCCTTTTTGACTAACTCAAATTTAAAACCAAATATGGATCAATCTGGAAAATTATTGCAATATTTGACAGACCACCAGAAAAATTCTAACCTCGCCGACGGTGTCTGGATATCGAAATTTTTGATGCGATAATAAATGGCAACAACATGTCACATTCAATATATTTTTAATTTCATAAGCCCATGACAGCTCAGAAAATTTTTCAAAAATTTCCAAATAATTCCTCATTTCATTCCAGCCCTTCTGCAATGTTTTCGCTTTTTTTATTCATTTATAATATTTTCACAAAATAGAATTTAACAAAAAGAAAATGTTCCCATCACTTCTACTGTATTTGCTACCGCATAACTTTTCTCTCGCGTGCCATAAAACAATGAATGGATTAAAAACAAAACATTCCAGGCGTTAATATAAGTATACAGTTAGCTAGTTGATGGAGGGGGAATGGAGGTGAACTAGAAATGGGTTGTAAAGGAAAGAACAAAAAAAAAGGAAAAATCATGACACGATTTATTTGTACACATTTGGCTGTATTGAAGGAACTTTTAGCTTGATGGTGATGAGTTTGGATGGGTTTTTTTGTGATTGTATTGACAGAAGCTTAGGCGCACTTTCGGGATGTTCTGGAAGGTTTGGATTTTATGATATTTTTTTGGGATTTGGAGTTTATGGGAGCATTCGTTTATGATTTGCATGGTAGATGACACCACTGTCAATGTTAACTGATATCATACTGATAATAATCATCTAATCCATCTACAGCCTTACTTCTGGTTATCTACAGTAGTAGAGTTATTTGACGTATTTCATAAGGGGCTCAAGTCACTAAATCTCTAAAGATCTTATTGATTAAGCTACTCGTTGACATATAGAATTGTAATCCTATCAAAAACATACCAGATTTATGACTTACCGTTCCAAAGATGTACCTATACCGTACCGTGCCGTGCCGTACTTTCCCAGTACTCGAGAAATCGGATCCAGAGTTCGAATTCGATATGATTTAAGTCGACTTTAAGCTCTGATGAGAATGGACGTGTGTTTTGAAGTAGCTCAATTTCACTGTCAAGTCTTGAACCACTTTAAAAAATTTAACATGTCCTGTAAGTGCCCCAATAGACATTCTACAAATATCTCACCAACATCTACAATTTTCGCAAGCTAAAATAAATAAAGAAATCACCCCAAAAAATGTCCGAACCCAAAAAATAAACAACAAAGCTCAAAGTAAAGCAAAACTACCTACAAACCGTGGATGTCGACATGTGCCAAGGAGTAAAAGCTAGAAAAAGAAAACAAAGAAAAAGGAGCCAAACATAATGAAAACGAATGAAAGACCCGGTGTCAAAGTATTGAAATGGAGCATTACCGAAAGAATTATTCATTTAAGGCACGACAGTGCGAGGGGTTAAAATGCTTATTTTCTTCATTGGCAAAATCTATTGTTGCTGGTGTTATTATTGTTAATGCACAACTAAGAGTGAAAAAAGTAATCAAACAGCATGAATTAAGTTATGGCAAAAGATCGAAAGTATTTTTTTTTGCCTCCTTTTTTTCAAGCCTGCAAGACTTAAAATAAAGACTATAATTTTCATGCCATTAAAGAACCCCCCGAACGAATAAGGAAAAAATATTTGTGGGAGGTACAGGAGTGCTTACCTTAATTAATGCTTAACATTTTTTTTCCTCCACGATTATATAAATTGCGTTCCACGCGCCAGGATACAACGCCAATAAATGAGTGAATAAGTAAATGAATGAATGATAAATTCATGAGCGATTAGGAATTTTGTTTAACTACCAATTTTAATTGAATGACTGCTGCTATTGCTGTCCTTTGAGTCCTAGTTTGTGGTGTGGGAGAAGAGTGGAATCTGAGTAGCTATATATAGGCACATCTGTCAGTGGAAGAGTAAGTCTTCTATGGCATGAGTGGTTAATCATCTGACCGGATAACTAGGATCCAGTTGAGTTCAAGTTGTGTTTTGTATCAAAAGCTATGATCCAAGAGTAAAAGTCATGTCCGAAACCAACTTTACTCATAAAGCTCTAAAGCAATTCAAAATCAAAAACGTTCCAACATCAAATAATTTGTAAATATCTGTTTATCAAAACATATTCCGAATAACTTTTTAACATTTGAACTTTTGGCGTTTCAAAATTCAGCAAATATTAAAATTGTAAATGCCCTTCCGCAATATTCTCATGATTTTATGCTGTATTTAAATGATTCTGTTCATATTTTTCATATCGTTAAAATAACAATTTTTTGTGTAAAGTTTCCCAAAATTAAAAAAACATTGGAATCGCTTCAGGAAATGCAAACAATGTTTTACATTTATTACAAACGGATACGCCTTCACAGATGTTTTATGTATCAGATTGACAGTAATAACTGGGAATCATGTCAAACAAACTGAAGTGCTTGTTAATTCGCATTTAGTTATCAATAAGAAGACAAGGCACGTTCAATTCATATTCATTAAGAAAGCATTTAAGATGATTGTAGTTTGAGGCAGAAATGATGTTGGGATATTTAAGGGGCGGCTGATTTTTTTGAAAAAATTGATTGATCAGATAACTGGTAAATCATAGAAAAAGTCAATACCGGCTTTATGAGAGCATCCTACAGCAATCACCCAGACCCAAAAAGCTCAATATTAAATCAGAATAAAAAAATATTCCAAGATCCACCAAACGCCTCAAAATCAGCAAAACATCAAAAAAGTAAAAAGTTTCAGCCTTCAACTTAATCTAATAATTTACTTTCATCCTAATTTTCCTTTCATACGTTCATTATTTTCCATGTTTCCTCAATTTTAACAGAAAATTAAGAGTGGTAGAGAGAAGGAAGACAGACGTTCATGTCCGAAAATGAATGCAAATAGGCTGAGATATAAAATTAAAATTATTTTTTATTTTTCCATCTTCTGTTGTATGAAAAGTTTTGTGATAGAGTGGATATTTCAGGGTTGGAGATAGTTCTGTGAGGCTAGTCAGTTAAGTCAATCAAGTGAGTCAAGTAAGTCAATCGAGTGAGTCAAGTCAATCATTCAAGTGAGTCAAGTTAGTCAATCTAGTGAGTCAAGTAAGTCAATCAAGTGAGTCAAGTAAGTCAATCATGTAAGTCAAGTAAGTCAATCATGTGAGTCAAGTAAGTCAATCATGTGAGTCAAGTAAGTCAATCAAGTGAGTCAAGTAAGTCAATTTAGTGAGTCAAGTAAGTCAATCAAGTGAGTCAAGTAAGTCAATCAAGTGAGTCAAGTAAGTCAATCATATGAGTCAAGTAAGTCAATCATGAGAGTCAAGTAAGTCAATCGAGTAAGTGAAGCAAGTCGAACAAGTTAAGTCTAGTCGGATTTAGTCAGATGCGGTCGGGTTTAATCGGGTTTTGTCGGGCTCATCCAGGCTTATTCGGGTTTAGTCGAGTTTAGTCAGTTTCAGTTGGTTTTAAACAAGTACAATTGAGTCTCTTTGAGTCTCGTCGTGTGTGATCGATTTTAGTAAGTCTAGTTGAGTTATTTAAGCTAGCCAAGTAAGTGAAACTAGTCAGATTCAGTCGAGTCTAGTCTTGTGAATCAATCAATCTAGTCGATCTAGTCAAATCATTTTAGAAACACCAGAACCACCCCTGCAACAGTCAAAAAGATAAAGTGAATGAAATTTGTTCATCCTAATGAAGCATTTATTCATACGCAAGCAGTAACCGGCAAGCAAAAAAATATTATGTTGAAGATAGAATAAAATTATTCCAAAAAATTTTTACGCATTTATGTTTATGAATAGAAAAAGCAAGCAAATTATTTTTTTAGACAAGTTTTTCTTCCTCATGATTATCGTCATTCCCAAACCATATTAGCTGCAGCCTCATGAAGCATGAGTTTTGGCGCCAGCGACTGAAGTTTTAAGCTGAATTTGCCTTCTTTACTTGATTATATATTCATAAATTTTATTTAAATTTTTTTTAAACTCAAAGTTAATATTATTTTTGTACATTTTGCAGGAGAGTTTTAAATTTTTTTTCGGGGTCGTTTGGAAGTGACGTCAAGGATG